CAATTCTGAAACTTAATCGTGATAGAATACCGAAGTCAACAGAAACCCGAATTTACCGAAGTCTCTCCCAAAACTTATTAAAGATTGAGCTAAATCTTGCTGCTACTCAATTGATTACGTGTTTCAGTCTGCCTAATCAATAGTTGGGTAACAACAATAATTGGAAGGATCATCTTGAATCCTTGAGTCCAGATTACAGTAGCCAAATCCTCATTATCGAGCAAATAATTAAGCTCCTTTTCGCTTTTATAAATTATGACAATATGCTCATCTTCAGTTCCATCTGGAAAAGCAAAACAAGTTTAAAGTCTCATTTTCAAAGCTGACAAGGTTATTTGCCCATAAGTTACAGTCCACAAGAATTTCTCTGACTTATGCCTATATGTTATCATGCAGTGAACTTCTTTCGTCTTAATAGGATGCTATACGATTATATGTATGTACTTATCGGCTAGCTAGGAGGGAAAGTGTTTGCTAATTTTCAAAAAAGGTGGTAGTTCTTCATCACTAAGGTCCTTCTTGATATTAATGTTTATTTTTGTGTTGACAGCGACTAATTTTTCATTTTCTTCTTCAAGGGACTTAACATTATTGTCATTTTTTTCTTGATAGCATCTCTAAACAATGCCAATGTCTTTATTTGAGTGGTGTCAATAACAATTTGAAAAGCATTTTTATAAGGGTTTCTTCTGCAACCAAGCAACTGAGAGTAATAGTTGACATAACGCTTTTATAAGAAATATTGGCTCAGACAAAAATAGTGTTATGTTCTGAAGTGAGATAAAAGTTTATTTCTGTTTGAGAATACTGGCATTAATATAGGTTTTTATATCGCACAGGTATTGCATCATTTCACATGATCCATTTCTCATGTATTGTATATTTGATAAAATAATAATTTATTTATGAAATAAAAAATGTTACTGGAATCCAGCTTAAGATACATAAAATTCGCTACATGATAAAAGTAGAAAGAATACTAATTACTCCTAGGTTTTTATAAGAATGTGAATTTAATCTTGAATAAGAGGCTTATTGAAATACTTAAAGATCTCTTCTGCTAATTCTATGAGTTTATTTTCCTTAGGATCATTCACGTATAGGCTGAAGTTGAAGAAGAGAGCTTGGTAATCTTGATTTGCTAAAAGAGTTTTGATGACAAATTCGAGAATAATGACTTTATTCTTCTTGCAAGGTTTGATCATGAAAATTTTCATCTCTATCCTAAAAACAACACCTAAGTTTAAGAGAATTAGTACTGGTCATTTTTTGATTTCTAAAATACAAGTCTATAGTGAGAAACTTTCACCACTATACATACATAACTTTTGGCATATAATGTACATACCTTATTTTTGCATTATTTTTATAGGAATGATTTTGTGGAAAAGTTAGCTAAACTTCTACATATCACTATATGCTTTATATCTTACTGAGAAAAAGATAAGGAGATATGAGGCATAATTAGTATTGTCATATGATGCCAAGAGTTTCATGAAAACACATGTAAATGGAATCTTTTTACCTTTTTACATGGAGATCTACCAGAGAGACACATAGTTAGCTTTACGCCTGGCGATCTTAAAATTGCGAATCTATCAGACCTTTATAATATATACTTTTACTTAACACTATTTACTTTTACAGTAGGTCTTGTGTTGTAACTAGACGTTCTTTCACATTTTTTCACATTTGTTTGAGAAAAAATAGAGGAACTTGGTCAGCATATATATGTTTTTTTTCGAATATATATGTGAAAATTAATATATTGTACAAGACCTGATTAATGATCCACTTATTTTTTTGTCACACAAAAGTACATGCATGTGGCTCAGCAAAAAAATCTAATTAATAATCATGCTTCACATATCTCAGCCCACTCTGGACTGTTGATCTAGCCCACATATTTAAATTTAAAAGTCGCTGAAGGTGCTGATCTAAAAATCACTTATTAGCAACATTGGTCTGTATAAAATAATTTCTAACTAATTCAATAAAATTAGGGGTACTGAAGATTCCAAGAAATTCTCAACATAAATATTTGGGTTAAGTAAAATAAGCTAATCTACAGCTTCTTCGCTAATATTATAACACTTTTCCAAATAAAGATACTTTAAATTAAGACATGATCTAGCAATTTCTTCAATAGTTATATCAGTAATTACACAATAGCTAAGATCAAGTTGTTGGAATCTTGGGCAAGAATAAATAACATTATAAATTGATATTTCAGAAAACTCTTTATGAATAGAAATATTTAGATATTCTAGTTTATTGTATGATTATGTAATTGTAGATAAACCTATATCATTTTCTGATCCAAAGCTTCCATGTAAAGCAGATATATTGAGATACTTCAAATTTAGATATAATTCTGCTATTAGCTTTAGAACTTTATCTGTACAGTCCATACTTCTTTCAAAATCTAAATGAATTATATTTGGGAACACACACATAATGCCTTTGATTTTTTTATTTAAAAGTGAATAGTAATGCATTATTTTAAGATGAATTAGTTTTGAGCTATAAACTGATTTTCTTTCTCCTCCAGGTACTATTTTTAAAAATCTTTTCAATCGAAATTTATTTTCCACTTTGTCTCAACTCATTTCCATAAAATAGGAGCATCGCATCTGTACTAAAGCCAGCAAACAAATATAGCAGGATAAAGTGACTTATTTATTGTTAAAAAATGTAAAATCTATTCTAGCAATTCCTGTATATTAATAACACTTGTATGTGTCATAAATAATATATACTGTATCTTTAATCGAAAAAAATTAAATTCTCTAGATTGATAATCACTGCTTCAAACTAGATATTTCACAATCTTACATAGGTACATCTTTTACTTCTTTGAATGGAATCGCAAAATTGGGGTTTAATAATAGTCTTGAATCACATATATCTAAAATTGCATCACTTTCTTAGAACTAAGGACCTTTCAAGATTAAATTGGATCCTGGAATTCATCAGGTGTGCTTTTATGTTTCTTGTCATCATTAAAGCTGATATGCAGATCAACCTTTCCTAATGTGGAATAGGATGTATCCCAAATTTTAATACTATTATTTTCATTGTAATATGCAATTCCTAACTTACTAATATTTTTTTAGCTAATATGATTTATATCAGCGCCTATATCATTTGATGCCTCAATAGGAATATTTTCTTTGACTACATAATACACCATTTTTTATTATAGCATATAATATTCAGATGTAAAAAACAAAATTCTATTCACTGCTCTGGACTAGTTAGGTGATCAAGAAGTTAATTAATCTTATTTTTGCTATATATATTTTTCTCCTGATCTCTCTGTCAGACTATATACTTTCAAATCCTTTAATGCTTAATCATATTTACTATTTCATCAACATTAGAATCATATGAACTGGATTCAGATGAGCTAGTCTTAGAGGAATTAGATTTAGACAAACTACTCCCAGATGACAAACTAGACTCAGATAAACTACTCTCAAATGATAAACTAGATTCAGAAGAGCTTGATTTAGACGAACTAGTCTCAGATGAAGTAGACTTGTCAAATGCTTTTGGTTACTTTTTATTTTGATTATTAATATATTAAACTTAATATCTTTAATCAAAAAATTTCTGGGACAATCCTTTCAGAAAAATATCTGCTTTCTTTATTTTAATCTTTCTCAGTAATGTTTTTCTTCGTTGCTTATGAGGGACAGCCTTTTCATCTTTTACTTGAGGTCTCTCTGGAGACTTCCACTCAATTATCTCAACTGAGTCAGAATCTTCAGAAGACTCAGACAAATAGGAGGAACCTTTTCTTTCTTTCCAATCAGCAAAGGAACTATTTTATGAATTAAGTCAAGCACAGTTTTCCTATTCATACATTTGTCTAGACCTTCTAATTCATCATTTAAGGATCCTACATCTCTTTTTAATCTTTTTACCTTCTTTCTAAAGTGTTATATTGGGAATGATAATCTTCTAATTGTTTCTTTAGTACCCTATTTTTACCAGAAAGCGTACTATACACTTCTGCATTTTTCTCATTTAGTTCAAATATCTAGATTAATTTCTTCGTATGTCTGATAACTTCCTGCTCACTAGATACATCAAATAAATGATTTAATTAGTTATTTCCATTTTAGCCATTTTCGTGATATTTTATATATATTATATCTTGCCTCTAGTGAAAAAATAAAATTAATAAATGATATTTCGTGATCTTATAGAGACCCCTAACCTACTATGTGGCTAGTTTTCATCAGAGATCTAAAATGACCTTGCCTGATTATATGATTCTTCTTTTTTTCACATATTGAATATAGTATATTTCTTAGATGGAGAAGAATGGTACTGCTGAAATAAAGCAGATTTATACAATAATCAATAATTTCAAATTTTTAATAAATGATTAGGTAGATTTATTAATTAATATGATTTGTCAAACAGAAGAAGAACCACAATTTAACAAAAAATACCTGAAAATTTAATTGAAAAATAGCAATTATTTTTTAAGTTTTGTTCTTTATCATCATATTCAATATGATTATTCATTTCATTTGATTGATATTATAGATAAAATATTCTTTAGCTTTTAATTTGCCATCTTTATTTACATTTGAATAAAAAGAAGCTAGAACAGTTAGTATTTGATCAACAGGACATGAAAAATTGTTTTATAGTTATTTTATCTTATATATCAGATGGAATAAAACTAGAACCTATTATAATTTTCAAATTAAAAAATATACCTTATGAAACATTTTCTGTTGGTATGAAAATTTGGATTAATGAAAAAGGATAGATAAATAATGAGAAAATGCTTTGGTAAATTGATAATGTATGAAATAATAAGGATGTTTTAAATAATAATCCACAAAGTTTATTAGTATGTAACTCATGATTCTGTAAAAAAAAATTTAATGAAAGCATACAAATCTTGCTATAATTCCTGATAGATTAATTAGCAAATTACAATCTTAGATGTTGGAATTAAAAGCAAATGTATTTTTTTATATTATTTAATTGAAATTATTTTATTTTATATAATTACTAAAACAATTTTTTTTTCTTAAGGTTTAAGAATAATATAATGAATAAAGTGTATGAATTAATACCAGCTGACAGAATTAAAAAACAGTATATAATAAAGTTACACAATAAGATGTGAAAGTATTGATGTAAAAAAAATTAAAAATTCATTTAAATGTTGTGGCATTTCTGTGGAAAAGAAGATGATTGTATTTTTGATTATGATTTGTTAAAAGATAATGTTGAAAATGAACCTGTTGAAAAAGAAAACTTAATTGATGAAAATATGTATAATGATGATATTATAGAAAATTATGAAAATCCATGGATTTAAGCTGTTTATTAAATGAATAATAAAATAAAGAAATTGCTTTTATGAAACTTATTTTCTAAATAATATTTTCAATGTAATTCAATTTATTAATATTATACGATATTAGTACCCGGATACTATACATACAGAACGCTTTATGGTATACACAACGCAAGGTAATGTCATGCCCAAGGAAAGTCTCCAGGATATCATGTAAGGCTTTAGTATCGGCCCGTTGGGCCTTAATAAGAGTTAAGATAAATCTCTGGAGACCAATTAACGCGTATTTAAGATATCTATCAAACTTGTAATATAATTCACGTGATAAAAGTTGAAATAAAAATATCGCAAAAACTTTCACAATTATTATTAACTAATTTTTTAAAAAAAAATTTAAAGCATTTATAAAGAATTTTTTTTTAACGTAATATATATAAGTTGTGGGAATGAATTTAAAATATGCGTAGACATTAAAAATAAAAAAAAATAAAATAAAAATTAAATAAATACTTCCCCATACATCATTTGAGTTGAAAAAAAAAATAATAACGAAAACACAATTGTATATGTAAATGTATAAAAAAAAATAATAGTAATAGAAGAAACATCTAGACCAAAAATAATATGTGGATAATAAAATAAAAATTATATAAGTTTTAAATAAAAAATAAAAAAAAAAATCTAGTCTAGTTCTCTTTTGTTGGTTGTCAACTTTTAAAATTCTGTTAACCATTTTTTTTTTGATTTTAAATGAATAATTATATGAATATTCCAAAATTAAAAAAGATGATGTTAATAAATAATTTATTTTGCATTGACATATCTGCCTAAAGCAGCGACAATCAATTCCTTGTTTTTCTTATCATCCGAAAAGAAGTAATAAGGTTCTGATGATCGGAAATCCACTTTAAAGGAATTAAGTATCAATACATCGGATTGAGCATCTGTTACGCCAGTTACTTGACCGTCAAGTTCAAGTTTAGAAATAGGAAGCTTGTCGGTTTCGTCACGGAATAAATAGAGAGTTTTTCCTCGAAGTTCAAAGAATCGACGCTTCCAAAACTGTTATTTTTAATCATAACCTTATTTAATAATATATTACAAACGAACATATAATTAAAAAAATTACTTACGTAAACTCCACCACCTTGAACTGTGATATAACCACTTAATGTAACCTATAAACAAATAGATATTTGTTAACGTTCAGAAAATAAAATAACGAACCCTTTTTTATAATTTACCTTTCCACTCTTTTCCAACTCAGCAAATTTAGATCTGAGTTCTTCAGTACGTTTTCGTTCTGCCTCTTCACGGGCTTTACGATCGACTTCTGCTTTAGCTTTAGCTTCAGCAGCCACTCTTTCTTTTCGCTCTAGTTCAAGAGCTTCATTTTTCTTTTTCTCGGCCTCTTCAAGAGCTCTTCTCTGAGCAGCCTCTCTTGCAACCTGTTCAGCTTTTCGTCTATCTGCAGCGTCGCGTTCGCCTTTTTCTCGGGCTTGTCTTTCAGCGTCCTCCTGAGCGCGTCTTTCGGATTCCTGTTTAGCGGCAGCTTCATCGAATTCTGGATCTTGATCTGGTGAAACTGGTGATTGAGGTTGAACTGGGCTAGAAATCGGGGGTGTATTGAGAGGTTGAGTTTGTACACGTTTTGGAGGAGAGTTTGGTTTTTCTGGGTCGCCGAGTTTCAATCGATTTCGCACATTCGCTTCAGTAAGATCATTGGGGGTGGAGGCATTGATTTGAACTTGATGTGCCTGCTTGACAATGATGGAGTGTTCACATCACATAGGAATTTTAGGATACCAGATGGTTTGTCAAATTGGATGATATAATTTTTTTATATAGATATACAAAAACTGCACTCTACCTTAAATAATGCACCAACGGCTCTGCCATGGACCAAAGAGCGGGCTATGAGACCGAAGTAAAAAAAAAATTTTTTTTTCAGTAATTATAATTAAAAAGAAATTTTCCTCAAATATCCAAAATTCATTTAATGACATTGAAATGCTAATAGTACCTCTTCTTACGCCACTGTTATCAAATTTCATTTAGTATATGATAAAATATTATTAGTAAAAATCATCTTAATATTACATGTACAATGTACTCCTTTTCCTATCAAAACGCACCTGACTTGATCGCTCACATAGGTTAAGAAGACGAATCTATTTTCTATTCTCAAAAAACCATAGAGTACTTCTTCCTCCTTGAGATTATCGCGAAGTTCATCGAGACCACCGGGACCTTTAGAATTTAAAGAAATTTTGTCCCTCGTATCATTATAGCCGAGAATGAGCCTGTTGTAAAAAAAAAAAAATTTGTTTTATTTAATACGTTACAAACTAATGTGATTAGAACAGCCTGTCTAAATATATTTGCCACAGCATGGCATTCCTAGGGAACTTTATTGTAGAGCTAAAACCGCGCTCAGAATATCTTAATTGCTACTATTGACTAAAATATAACTTTGAAAAGCATCTGAATTTGGAGAACTAGAGAAATAAAAGTTTAACCCTACCAGTTAGTATCCTGACCGCCAACGATCTCATCATATGCTTCCGAAATTGCTGGGTCAGTTAAATCGCAAGACATTTTTTATGATGCGTGTGAAATAAGAGGTAAAAAATGATTTATTCTCTGTTTTACAAGTGACAACTGAGAGGTGGTATATCAAAAGAGTGAAAAGGTTTTAAAGTTTGGTTTTAAAATTGAATTATGAACTTTTCAAATTACTCATGTGATGCTATTTTTTTGCTATGAATGTTGAAAACTATGGATTTATTAAATCTGTTAAAACTTTCTTTTAAATAAGATTGGATTATAATGACCAACTGTAAGATGAGAAAAAGGAGGAAAAAACCAGCTAATGGATTGGAATTTGATATATTAAAATCTAGAGAAACAGAAAATTTGATACAAGAAAAAGTAAAACAATTGGGTCAAGACCATCCATGATAAACGTTACATGCACTTGTAAACTTAAAATAAAATTTACACAACATAAATATTTGTCAAAACTTTGGATACGAAATTAAAAGAGCTTGTTATTAAAAATGTAAACGCAAACTTTAAGAAAATTTTCAATATCAAATTGAAAGTTTCTCAAATTCTACTTCGTAATACCTTTTATTTATTTCATAAAATTATGTAAAATTAATAATTTACATCAGAAAATATTATATTATGTAATTTTAGCATAGACAGTTTGTTTAGTTAAATAAATATTATTAATTTTTTATACATAATAAAAAATTATTTACTAGATGTTTTGAATTGTTCTTCCTGCAAGTTTTTTTTGAAAAATAGCATATGTATGCAGACTACTATTTGCCAAAATAAGAAAATTTGTTCAGAATAATTTAATATTTTAAAGCCCTATTCCTTTATTAATACGATTTACTTACCAAGAAAAAAAAATTTTTATTATACTCATATTCAAAGATTATTATTTTTTTGAAAATTCTCAGAAATCTTGAACGAAAATGGATACTAATTTGCAAATTCTGTGTCGCTTCCTTGCAAATTGCACTACCATTACCAAAATATTTATACTTTATTTGTGAAATGTCTCATCCAGAACTTTCACCTTCAATAATTTCAAATATACGATTCTTTTGCGAATAAGATGACTTATGTGTATTGTACAATAATCATCTCATTATGAATATTAACTGTGCATTAAATTACATTAAAAAAATCACATTTTTGTTTTTGCATAACACAGCAAATAGTTTATTATTTTAGTTAACTAAGATATTTTCTTTTCGAATATCATTGTGAAGAACATTATGACTATAAATTATCTTTAATGCCTTGAGAGCCTTATTCTTTTGCCATTTCTCTATCTTATAGAAATTCAACATAGTACTAACAATTGTTGTACCCATAACATAGCCCATCCCACCCCATAATAATCATAACATACCAATTTTGGGATATACATTCCTTGAATTTTAGAAAGTCATTTGTATATTTCGATTTCATCTTGCATTTTGTAAAAAAATTGCCTATTCTTATATAGATCTAAAGTTTTTAAAGCTATTGTTTGCTCATAGAATTCACATCGGTAAGTCCCTCCAGTTTGCCTATAGCCTAATGAACACTCAAACTTAAATTCTAAACAATCAAAAACCTCTTCCATCATTTCTTAGGAAGTTAGAGTCCTTCTGCTTTCAAAATAAATATTTCTCTATCACTTTGTTTAATACAGTAAACATATTTGTTTCAATAGCAGTATATACGTTTGTTTCAACTACTATTGCCAGATCTTCATTAAAATGTGATCTCTCAAATCTTTTGATTACATCGAAGCTATGCTGATTTACTTTGTTTAAAAATCCTTTTCAACATGTTATTCTTGTAGGCTAAACACCACTTATATTTTGTGAAGTAAATCTGAAGGATAATAGACAGGTGGCGGAATATATGATAAAACTTCATTAAGTGTAAGAAGTCCTGAAACAAAAAAAAATGGGATTGAGTTAATAAATACTACGAAAATAACTGATTAGAAAGAAGTTTGTTAAATAACACACGAGGCGTACAAATGTTAAACTATTTTATGATAGAACCTACTTTGACTAATTAAATTATTAATTAAGTTGACAAGTTTAACCCTTGATCCTATTCTAATGTTACATTTTTTAAGTCTTTCTTCGTTTAACATAAGAAAGCTATCACCATCAATCCCTTGATCACGAAAAATTTGAATTTTATTTTTACTAAGACCCATGTTCTTTCCATTTAAGAAAGTGAAAAATGCTTCTATGCTAAATTCTTTTATGACTTCATATGAAGTATTAGTAGTAGTAGTACTTGTAGACATTTCAATTTGAAAAAAAATATAGTGTGATAAAAGTGCAGTCAAACAGTTTAGAAAATTTGCAAAAGGATTTGGGGTATATATAAGAAATCTATTATTGCATGAATCAATCAAACAATTAATAATTAAATTAAAGCATGATTAAAACTTTATTAAAGATACATTAAGCAGTCTCGAAGTGAAAAATAGTAGAAATTGTAAGCGAAACAATATAATGCTATCAAAAATGGAAGGAGTATTCAGATTCTAGGCCATAACAGTATCATATTATTTTTTTGCTTTCTCAAGTTTTTAATATACTAGACTTCTAAAATAAATTATCCCGCCCATATCTATAGAATTTTGAATTATATCTCTTCTTCTCATACAGACTATGTAAAATAACACTCCCTGCAAGAGAACTTTCTCAATATTGAGTAATTTCGAAACTATTATTACATATTCGGGGATTAGTAACTATAGTAAAAAAATAAGCAATACAGTATTTAGCAAAGCGCTTTTTAGCCTGATTTATACTTACTGTTAGTTTTATTGTCTGAAGCATAGCGGAGGACATTTTACTTCTAGGTCATTTAAATGCAAGGTCGTTCTGTCCATCCAAATTTGGCAAGTCTAATAACCAATGACATTTTGTTTATATTATCACGTGTTATATCTTTTGTGTTACAAAATAATTAATCTTGTGAAATATGATATTATAATTTATATATCATATCATGCTTCAGACTTTGAAAAGATCCCGTTCTTTAGTAATAAAAGTGTTTTGATTTTTTTTATTATCAGGTATACAATACTATGTCAAATTCCAAGAATTCAGCATATGATTTCATTGCCAGTTGATATACTGTGATCAGATAATTTATTATTGTCCGAAGCATAGTGACATTTTACTACTATATCATTCAAATGCAAGGTCATTCTGTCCGTCTAAATTTGGCAGCCTGATTGACCAATTCTATTTTGTTTACATCACAAAAATTAATTGTGTTACAAAAATAAATCGCAAAAATTCTCATAAAATTATGATAATTATAATTGATTTTAAACATTTAAATAAACAATTAATTATTTTATTAAAGTAATCATGTTAAAACTATGATTTAAAACATTTTTTAATATAAAGTACTTTTTTTTTAAAAAAATAATAAATAACTTGTAATATAAATTTTCATTATCCTACATGTAAACTTTTCTTTGTTATGTTTGTCTCATTTGATAATTTGATAAAAAGAAATAAATTTGTTTTTTGAATGCCTATAATGCAAAATAAAAAGAAGTTTAGTCAATCTGATTCAATTAAAAATGTAAAAAACAAGAAGTATAAATTTTTGATAAATGTGAAATCCATTATATAATGATCATGAAAATAAGAGAAAGCCTGTTTGACTAAAAATCATAAACAAAAAAGACAGCGTAAGGTTTTAGAGAATTTTGATAAACATTTAAATCGTCAGAAAGAACTGCTTCCTGATAATTTTCAATAGCTTTCTAAATCAGATTGTAAGCTTCTGTATAAATTTTGTATAGAGATGAATAAACTCAAACAATCACTCTGTTCTGTTTGCAATAAATAATTTACTTTGATTAATCTCGTCATGAAAATGTATCATCACTATTATAGTAATAAAAATCAGTTAAAGAAATTTTCACTAGAAAATAATATGAATCTGGATGATATATCTGATAAGTTAAATGAACTTACCAAGATAGAGGAAATGTTAATTATACAGATTTTTTCTATCATCTTAACATATTATCTTTGTGAAGGCTAATATACATATCGTGAAAATATTATAAGTTTTCTCTAAAATATAGGTGATTTTATAACCCATCTTCCTTATCATCCCTTATCCTTGAATATGCTTATTATACGTTACCAGTCTGTAGATAGATCAACATTATTCAAAAAACTTTAACATTCGCTATGCTAAAATTAGACTCGCATTTTATTAATTAAAAGATAATAACTGATATTATGCAAATATTATTATTGATGATAATGTCTTATGTTCTTTACCTGATAATGATTATGTTGATAGTCATCTTTCACAACTATGTGATCTAGAAGATGAGCTCTGCTATATAAGGACTGAACTCCTAAATATAAGTGATGATGATACAAAATATATAATCATACATAATTTTATTCCATTATTAGTGAAGATCATGCCATTAATGATACTCTTACTCAAATGCAGTCTAAAAATAATCCTGTTATATGGACAAATATAAATAGCAACGTTATTAACAAATTTAATACGTTTGATTATATTACTCATACTTTTCTAACTCTGTATCTTACAGGTAAAGCTAATCTTTATACAAAACATATTAAAGATATTAAATCACCTGAATACTTTTAATATTTGCTCTAATATAAAGATAGAAAGCTTACACGTCATCCCCAGTGACATTAGTTTGCTTTAAATTCCTAGATGTAATAGAGAATATTGCAGAAAGGGAAGGTCTATGTCAAATAAAGTCTAAATAGTAAACAGCTTACTGTTGAGGATATTCAGAATATGATTAAAAGTGATACTTATATAGCAGATTGTGTCATGTAGTTTAGTGAGAATTTGCATATCATTAGACAGTTTTGGTCTAAACATTATTTTGAATTATCTGATATGATAAAATGATCTATACTAACTAAACCTTTATAACTTATACCACATAGTGAAAATTCAACAAATGCAGTATTGGAGCAGTAGAGATGCAAATATTTATACCAGGATTTGATTAGTAATCCTCATATTATTGCCTGAGTTTT